TAATCGACGATTTTTTTGTCGAAATCGCGATTATGAGGGATTTGTTGAGCTCGAACCGATTTAATAATAGGTGTCGTATCTATAGCATAGAAGTTTCAGCCTCATATTTTACTGGCTGATAAGTCAGCAAAAAAATCGGCAAACTGGTCGATTTTATCGCGATAAAGCGCACAATTAATCGGTCCGTAACTCGCGATAAAATCGTCGATTTTTTCGCGACTTTTCATCACATGGGTTAATAACGCATATGATCTTAGTCTGATATAGTATTTCTCAACTTGTTGTACATAAACCATCTATTTCTAAATGAAAGCTGTGATTAAAATTGAATTAAATTTTCTTTTCTAAGCTCATCGTTTACATGGAAAAGGAAATGCTGCTACTAATACAAAAACAACATCTTCAACAGTCTATGAAAGAGTGGCCAGTTTATTACTTGATATTATAAAAAGTACTGCTCATTCTGTGCAAAATGATACAAAAATGCGTTCATCATTTAAAATAAACGTTTGTCCGTCTGATAATAATAAAGATTTTCTCGATTTATACGATATGAATGAAAAAGAAATATTAGGTGAAGGACGATTTGGTAGGGTATTTGGAGGAACAATGAAGAAGAATGGTGTTCCAGTGGCTATTAAAAGAATTGAATTATTACAGTGTACAGAACAAGATCGTCAAAATATTCAACAAGAAGCATCGTACCTATTTCAATTGAATCATCCTGGTAAGATATGATTGCTGTTAGGAATGTTACGAACTTGAACTCAAGTTCGAGTTGTCCTTAAAGTACGAAGTTCGAGTTCGATCTCTAAGATGTGCGAACGTTCGAGTTCGACTATACACTAAGACTTTTGTGATTTTTCACACTATGTTGATTTGTTATACGTAAAAAGCCTACGGGAAATGATTTCTGGGTTCTCCGTTTAAAGTTATTCGAACTAATCAAAGTTCTTTATCTTTGAAAACTTTTCCTCGTTCGAAAAAATGTTTTCAAAAGAAGTGCCAGTCAAATTTGAAGAATTTCATATTGCATGTTCTTTTGATTGTATGGACGCTGCAGACATTCGACTTCCTTAAATTGTACGTCATTCGAACGACCGCTAAAATCTGAACAAATCCTGATATTGTTTCGATTTTCAAAATAATTTCTGAATCTAGAAGAAAAATTAAAGAAAGTTGGATTAGAAAAAAGAGAAACTGATTTCTCTAGTAAAACAATTATCATGATAACAATTCGATCAATCTCGAACAATTCTTAGTACATCTTGTAGACAATGAAATTCAACAATGAGTGCTATTAGAATTGGTATATTCATGAAAATTGTTTTAAACATGATTTAATTTGCATAAAATCATGTTTCATCATCAATAGGTGCACTATTCTTCCTCGTTAGACCTCGGTTATTCGTTTTAAGCACAAACAATTTATTTTTTCCAACTCTTCAGTGTAAGTTAAGAAAACACTATAACTGGTCGGTTATCATGAGCACCCATTGTGTATGTTATGGACACCTGTTTTATTTCTGACCATATAGACTTGAATTTCCTTTCAAAACATTCTCCGTTTCATTCTCTACAAACAGCAGATTGAACATGGTTTTATATGCTATAAAAAGAAAAGAATAGAGAGAAAATAGTACGAAGCATCGATCTCGATTATCCCAAACAGAATGAAACACAAATTATTCTGAATAGGGAGGGTGCCATGTAACAAACTGAAATTCAAATTTATGTTCTCAGAACAGAACGTCGACACTTCGGAACGCCGGGTACTCCGAAGTGTCAACTTTCTTTTCGTGTATCGGAAGTTCTCCTGAAGCGTGTTTTTCCGGTACAAAAGGCGACTCAGAGATGCTGTAATACTCTTCCGCCGCGTATTCAAATGTTACTGCGTAAATATCCATACGGTGCGTAACGAAATTCTTAAGTAAAGTACTGAAAATGACACACTCGATATAATACTCAGAACGAGTCTTTTTGAGATATTTGATTAATTTGCATAATATGCGAAGTGGGATGTTTGAGAGTTGAGAGATATTTGAGAGTTTTCACGACATCTATAAATAAAACTGTATTGGCTGATTTTGATGGTTAATAACTTAAGCTGGTTCATTGTCGTGATAAGAGACGACAACGTAGATATGAGGTGGCGCTAGGTGGGAAGGTTAAGCATAAGTTACTAGCATCAACGTGAGTTTACGTTGATTATAGCGTCTTAAATCTAACTTCTATCTCTAACGAAACCGGATCCGACGAGGAGAAGATAAGATAACAATGAATCGCTGCTGCCAGCCTCTATTATGTAGAAGCTTGTGCGAAATGGAAAATAACTTTCAAATAGTGCATTCGACTCGCCTTTGCATTATCTATCGAATGGTAAAACAAAAACTTTCATAGC